TGGACCGGGGTTGCTGCCGGAGCTCTTCCCAGGGACAGACAGGCACCGGGTCCCCCTCCTCCTCCTCCGCTCCACCAGCAACGCTCGGCTGAGAGTCCAGGGATGTCGCCCAACGTGTGTTCCTTGGACACTATTCCAACCAGATTCCCCCTTAACGAGAAACCTTGACTTCTCCACCTGCCTGGAAAGCATGGCCTATCTTCCCAGAGAGGCTCTGACAAGTCCTGCGTAAAAGAGGCCCTACCGTGGACTCTGATACTAGTGGCATTAGTGGCATCAGGGCTGGACAATACGCCGCTGTGCAGTGTGGGGGCGCTGTCCTGCGCATTGAAGGATGTGTAGCAAGACCCCTCCCCCAGATGAGAGCAGTGTATACACGCACACACGCGCACATAGGTGCGCGCACACACTCTGATCGTGTGACACCCAAAATGTCTCCAGCACGGCCCACTGGCCCGGAGGGGAAAAGCAAACTCCTGCAGCGGAGAGCCTTGCCCCACAGAACCCTGGGAGAATCCCTCCCGCGCTCTCTCTCTCGGGGATGCAGAACCTATCCCGGCTCTGAGCAATGGAGACACAGTGAGCTCCGTGTTCCCACAGAGTAATAATCAGAGTGACAGCGGCTTCACTGAGCACCTACTATGTGCCACACGGGCAAAGATGGTGGGATGCCCTTTGGGTCCCCTGTGGCCCCCTGGGGAAGCTGTGGACACAGCCCGCAGCCAGGGACTGGACCCTCCCTGCACGAAGAATTCAGGTCAGCACAGACTCAGACACAGGCCCGTGCTGGGACTGGGGACACCCGGGCGAAGCAGGGGCCCCAGGCTGCGTGGAAGGTGCAGACCCCGCTGGGGGTGGGGGGGGCAGAGCCGCGATGGGGGAAGCACGGGTCTCCTGGCTGGCCTCCCCGGGGAGGACCTGGGCCCTGGCCTGAGCGTCCGCCTCCTGCCCCGGGCGGCCGTCACACACTCCTGTTTCTTTCAGTCCTGAGTTGTTTCCTCCTTCAGGCGGATGTGGTCCTTCCCTGCACCCCACACGCGTTAGACTAGCAGCCCCAGGATCAGGCGACATGTCGGTCTGTCCTTCCCTGTGACAGTCACGGTGATGGCACAGAACGGACCCTCAGGAAATGTCTGCCCACTGTGTCCGGAAGTGCGTGGAGGACCGGGTGGGGAGGGCTGGCAGGCACCTCTCTGGAGAGCAGCCCCTTTGGGGGGCTCTGATTTTTTTTAAAAAATGGGCCCTAGCTGGTGTGGCTCAGTGGACAGAGCGACAGCCTGCGGACTGAAGGGTCCCAGGTTCGATTCCGGTCAAGGGCACATGCCCTGGTTGCAGGCTCGATCCCCTACTGGATCGGCGTGCAGGGGGCAGCCGATCAATGATTCTCTCTCATCGTTGATATTTCTATCTCTCCCTCTTGCTTCCTCTTTGAAATCAATTTTAAAAACAACAGACTTTTGCCCCCTCCCCAGCCAAGCTGTGTGCAGCTGCGGGTCCCCCACCTCACTGTCCATCCTCACCTGGCTACCGCCCCTCTCTTTTGTAAACAAGCTGAGGGCTGCGAGTTCACTGGCCCCACCCGCGACGCCTCGCGACGCCTCCCGACCCTGCAGATGCGTCTGCCCCCAGGGGAGTGCCCGAAAGTCGCTCTGGTAGGAGCTGGCGTCCCCCCATCTGCCACAGGCCGGAGGCCCCCAGCCCACTCACCTGGATGACCTCCTCGCGGCTGGCGAAGTCCGTGATGATGACGTTGCGGCCGTCGGGCCAGCGGGTCAGGGAGATGCCCAGCTGCTGGGAGGCCCGGACGTGGATGTCACTGGGCAGGAAGGCCCGCAGCTGCCGCTGGATGTGCTCGATGGGCGCGAAGGCCGGGTGGAACACGCCCAGGCTCAGCTGCTCCACCTGCTTGGCCAGGTCCAGCAGCTGGTCGCAGGAGAACTCTGGGGGGGGCGGGGGGAGGGGACAGGTCCTGAGCCACCAGGCGCGCCTGCCCTGCGGGCTGGGAGGCCGGCCTTCCCTCCTGGGGGCCAGGGAGTGCCCCCTTCTGCTCAGAATTCCTGTGCCCCGCCCTGCGTTCAAATGCTCTCTCCCACCTTTTGCCCCAGGTGACCCTCAGAGCATCTTCCTGGCTCCTAGCGTGGCACCCCTCTTCTGTGAAAAGGGGGGAACCCTATTCCCAGTGCTCAGGTTCTCAGCTGCATTACACCGGACGGGCCCTGG